GCAATCCACTGAGCTGGCCAGAACCAACTCTTGAGCAAGTCTATTCCACATTTTCACAGCTCTCACTGTGAAGAAACCTTTCCGTGTTTGGAGATTAAATTTCTTTTCCTCCAGACGTAAAGAGTGCCCCCTTGTCCTCTGTGTTGACCTCAGGGTAAATAGCTCTACACCGAGTTCACTATATGAGATGTATTTATACATGTTGATCATATCCCCCCTTAATCTCCTCTTCTCAAGAGAGAATACATTTAGTTCCTCTAATCTTTCCTCATAGCTGAGCATATCAGTTTAGTTGCCCTTCTCTGTACTTTCTCAAGTTCCCCAATGTTCTTTTTGTGAATTGGTGCCCAAAATTGAACTGCATATTCCAGATGAAGTCTTACTAATGATTTGTATTGGGGTAATATGATATCTCTCTCTCTCTGGAGTCTATACCTTTTTTAACACAAGAGAGGATTTTGTTCGCTTTAGAAACCGCAGCTTGGCATTGCATGCCATTATTAAGCTTGTGATCTACCAGAACTCCCAGATCCTTCTCCACCATTGATTCCCCCATTTGTACTTCCCCTAGTATGTATGATGCATGCATAGTCTTAACCCCCAACTGCATAACCTTACATTTATCAACATTAAATCTCATTTGCCACATAGTTGTCCAATTAAACAGTGCATTGAGGTCGGCTTGTAAGTTGAAGACATCCTGTAAGGACATTATTTCACTGCACAGCTTGGTGTCATCTGCAAAGACTGATTTTTAATCTCAGACCCTATATCGTTTATAAATATATTAAAAAGTAGGGGTTCCAACACTGAACCCAGGGGTACACCACTGATGACCCCAGACCATTCAGAGTATGAATCATTAACCACTACTCTCTGAATTTGATCTTTTAGCCAGTTTTCTATCCATTTACATAAGGATTTTTCCAAGCCTGTAGACTTTACCTTACACATTAGCCATGTGTGGGGGAACTGTGTCAAACGCTTTTGCAAAATCCAAGTATACTACGTCCACTGCCACCCCTCTGTCCAAGGTTTTGCTCACCTCCTCATAAAAAGAAATCAGATTTGTTTGACAACTTCTGTCTTTCATGAATTTATGCTGTCTGTTGCTTAAAATATTTTTTTTCCAGCCAGAACTCATCTATGTGGTCTTTTATTAAACTCTCCAGTATCTTCCCAACTATAGAAGTTAAATTAACAGGTCTATAATTACTTGGTAAAGATTTTGACCCCTTTTTAAATATTGGCACCACATTGGCCTTACGCCAATCCAATCTATGTGCTAAAGTAAATACAGCTGGATAAAACAAAAACTGTGTGTCTTCATTTCAGGCTGCAAGGCAACAAAATGTGATTTTAAAGGAGGTGATTCTTATTTATACCCACTGTATATAAATCACCCAGAGGGGAATATTTTTTTTTCAGGAAAAGTGGAGTTACTCTTTAGTCCATTGCTGCTGTAACATTTGATTTTGAATGGGGTTCTTCTAGATGCCCAGCAACTATAATTAAGCTGTACTTTTATATTGCTTCTTTTCATCCCCTGAACCATCATTGCCAGGCAGAGGAAACAAGGAGTATCCTGGCAAGCAGAACCAAATATTTGGACTGCAGTGAGGAGGGAAAAATTCAACCTTCTTTAGTGGAAGCACCTCCGGTGCTTGGGTGTTCTGTGTTTACAGGTCAAGTCAGTACTGGGAGAGGAATGTGCTAAAAACCCCAAAACGTCTACCGCCATAGAATGTTATAATTGTGTTAACAGCCAGCTGCACTTTTTGTAAACTTTGAAGGTGAGACAGCTAAATGATCGTAAAGACTGACATCCCATCTGTCACTCCTCAGACCTTACTATTGGCCATTTTCTGTTAACACCCTCCTCAGGGACCAGAAAAGAGTGGCTGCATCAGTAGTTGGCAGCTTTCTTTTTACCGTCAAAGGAAAAACGTCAACCAAAATCTATGAGAGCCACTGATCCATCTTATGCTCATTGACTGAATTTTGTTGAATGCACAGAACCAGGACGTGAAGTTATTTTTACTTTTAAACCCTTTTTGTTTTTTTGTTGCATTATTATCTGTGTCTTTTGCCTTCGTAATACAGTTTTTTTATGTAAATATTTTGTTAGCACTGTTTTACCTGCTTACTTATGACACTCTACTTTTTAAGGATAAGTAAACCTTTTTGACAAAAATAATAAATGCACATTTTTTTGATAGTAAAAAAATTGGCATTTATTATTTTTGTCTGCAGGAGCCTGGAAAGCATTGTACCAGTGATTAGTAGATCGCGGATTCCATGCAGGTCTCCTGCAGACCTGTCAGAATATCTGCTTGCCGTAGGGGATGCTCCACAGAACAGTGGTAGTTCATTGAAAACTACAAGCCAACAGCCGCTAAGGCTGCCAGGACATGTAGGCAGTTTTCAATTCTGACAGATAGTACAGGGAAACTTCTCCCCGTACTGTCAGAGCGAAGGGGGGGGGGGGGGGGGGGGGGGCGGGCATGGCTGCAGCTATGGGAACATGTTACATGTTCCACCCTAAAAGCAGGTGGAACGTGTAACAAGTTCCCAAAGGTGAACTTACCCTTTAAGTCCTGGTTCACATTGGATCAAACTTTGAAATTGTGCAACTTCACTTGAAGTCGCACTATATCAAAGTAGGATGGTGGTGCGACTTCATAGATATCTGTGGGACTTCATACACAGATGTCTATGCAAGTTGCACCCCAAATCAGGAAAAGTAGTGCAGGAACTACTTTTCTAATTGGTGCGACTCTGATGAAGTCGAAGTTGCACCCATTAGAACAGTTTCAGCAGATCACTGCGATTTGAACAGTCAAATTGAATGACAATTTGCAACAGTGTGAAACAGGGCTTAACCGTAAAATTATCTCTTGTAAGCAATTAAACCATCTTTATAATATCAAAAAAGGTTATAAGGAGCATTCTCTATCAGAACACTTCAGAGATTGTCACTGTAGAAATCCAAACTTGAAACCAAGTGGATGTATGAGTTGTGTACATTGGTACCTCGGGGCCTGAATGTAGACATTGATATCAATTGCTTTATAGATAATAGCTAAAGTGGCATGTATATGTTTGCTTTTCTACTTAGGTACGATATGTATAATTTCATATTAATTTAAATGGCCTGCTTTTTAAATTCATATTTTTTTAAATAGATGTATTTTTTACCTTTTTTGTCTCAAGTCCTTGATAGATATGAACTACAGATACTTCATTTATTTTACTTTTACTTTTATTTTATTGTTTGAGATTCTGAGAGACTACCCTATTTTCATAATTTTTATTATTTTCAATTTTATTATTTTTGCTTTGCCTGGGCAATCACGACATCTGATTGATTATTTACGCTATTTGGATGTGATGAATATTTATTTGAGATATCATATTGTTTTTTAATGATCACAAGGCTTATTGCTTTTTATTCTGGACTCCATTAATATGGCGCTCGTCTATTGTACAGCGCTATATAACTATTCATTGTCTTAATCTACATCACATTGTGATTTCCATATAGTGTCATCCAATACTTATTGGATGTCCCTTGTTAATTAATTATGATTTTTGATGCCGTTTTGACGATTAGATATGTAACATCCCATTGGTATTCATTGCAATAGTCTTCCACCATCTGTTCCGGATAATGTCTCACAATATGGGCTACATTAAAATGCTGCCCACTAATTGTATGCGCGCCTCGTAGGCTATTTAAATGGTGATCCCTTCTGACGTCGGCAATGGGCGTACCCCTGAAGACGTGCGTGTGCATGAAACATGTTGGATGGAGCCTACGTGCTGATGTCACGTCGCCGTGTACGCGCTCCGGAATGGTGGCCATTTTGGTATGTGGCTAGCTTCCCTTTTACATTGATGTTTCCACTGTACAAGTAGCATTCTGGTGAGTGCATAGTGGTGGCGGAACATTCACCGGATCTTTTAAGCACTGGGTGGAATTGGACACATTTGTGCTCTCCAGCATCACTGACACACAGATCTATTTGTGGAAGAACTTTATTTGTTGGTTTAATTGCTTACATTGGTTTTTGTTATATTTATTTATGTATTATTTCATTGGTTGCACTAATTTGCACATATACCTTTGACACTGTACCTATTCAGTGGACTTTTTGTATGCGCTGCACTTTATTTACTTGTTTGCTGTCTTGAGATTCATTGTCACAATCTCTGGTGACAGCTGCATATATTTACCCAGCGCTCGCCATTTATGTATTTTGTAAAATTATCTCTGATGCGCTAACGCAGAACTTAAAAAGATTCCTGTCTCTTTGAAGAGTTCTGCTATATGGTAAATCTCTGGATATACCTGTCTGTGGGACAGTGTGTTACAGACGTTTAGTTTAAGACATAATCATTATTGCTAATATTGTGGATATTGATATTTATGATAAATAACTGGTGGCAGTGATTGATTTTGCGTATAGAGGGTTACCTGTAATTAACCTTTAATTACCCATAGCCAGCGATGGTTTCTCTGGCACTTACGATCCCGCAAGCTAGAAAATGAGAAATGAAAATGCAGAATGAGACTTAGGGTGTCGCCGTTGCATATCAGTGACAGAGTGGTGTGAGTTTGATTAGCCATTAGTCAAGTTGGTGAAGGTCGCCGGGTCTGACACCATGTCCATCACACTTACTGACACCAATTCTCGGGGCTATTACTGCTACCAATTCAGGGGATAATTTTCCTCCAACTTTTCAATATGCACTGCAATACACTGCAGGATTTCATTCTGAACTGGCTGCCTATCTTGACGAAATGCACGAAAATGTGCTGCTATTGTGCAGCCCTCCGAAAGTGTCAGGGGCCGCTCTCGAGGCCCTCTATAATCAAGTTGACCACCACTAGTCTAGCTTAGATGAGAGGGTTCAGCTGCATGTCACACTTCTCACAGGCCACCATGTAACTTGTTGCAAGGACAGAATTATTAATTTAACCAATGAAAATTGATTACCTGGCAATAGATTGGAGTAAGACATCTCCCATTGTGCTTCGCAATGTCACTAATGATGCGCACAGCCTTGTCTTTCTTTTTACGTATTAACAACCAGCGCGGAGATTCTGGGATAAACCTGTAGATATAAAAACACAGAAGACATTATTTAAAATGGAGTTCCACCCTTTTTCATGATCCTTGCCACACAATGCCCACCCGCAGAACAGTCTGTTATGGATATTTTTATGCATTTATTTTTTTTCTAAATATCTTTTTTTGCTATCAGTATCCTGCACGTCTGGTCTGGCCGCCTAGGCGATATCATCATTAGTCGATTCCCTAGGACTCTTGGGATATCGGCATTGGTATTTCTTGACCAGAAGTGACATTTTCGGCAGGAATGATTGACAGGTTGCCATAACAATGAGGGGGGATCTTCCTCCGCCACCATTGTTCTCGCAACCTACAAACAACACAGTGTGTCACGCTGTGTTCTTACAGCGCAAGCGCGAGATCGGGAGGTGCATGCTGGGTAGCCAGCTGCAACGAATCCCAGAAGAAAGTAGGAGCTAGCTTCAGATGCCCACACTTGTAATGGCCGCTGCCTGTCTGCCTTCTGAGGAATGTCACATTTACAAGTAAGCAAACGGCATACACTTAGAACACTGTCCTAATTATATACTGCAACAGACAAAAGAATCAGACCAGAAAAGTGCCGAGGGGACTGGAACTCTGCTTTAAGCCTACATACATATATCCTGAAACGGACAGTTACATTTTATTTTGTCAGCATACAGATTTCATGATCAAAGTATGTATATGAGGAGGCAGGATTTATAAAGCAATACAACAATGCAAAAAAAAAAACTATTTTGTAAGCAGCACACATAATATACAACTGACCTAATATACTATTGACATGTGATGTCATTCTAAATTAAATGCAGGCCGCCCATAGATGGCTTGAATCTCCTTCTGAACCAATTGAGATTCCTACCATCTATGACCAACTTCACACACCTCAGGTGTCTACATTTTGGATGAAGTAGTAAAGCAGACACCTTTGAACAGCAGCATTGTCTAGGTAGAGGGAAGTGTTATACTAGCATATTCAGATGGACTTGACTAACAAATTGAAGCTGAACTCCAGCTAACGCTTTTTAAGCAGCCACAGCAATTTTTTTTTTCATGTTTTGGAATAAAGGTTTTACAGAAATGAATAAAAGATGACCATTGTAAGCTCCTGACAGTGTTAAATGGTTTGTTACAACCTTCTGCTACATTGTCTGAATAGCTTGGTCTGTTAAAGGAAGGTGGCCGGATTACCAGGTGAAAATAAAGGAAAATAAAGCCTAAAAAAAAGAAGGTAATACAGCCACTACATCCAACAATTGGTAAGCTGAAATTTAACCACTTGCCATCCAGAGGATTTACCCCCCTTCCTTACTAGGCCTCTTTTTGCTACTCGGCGCTGCACTAATTCAATAATTGCACGGTCATGCAGTACTGCACCCAAACGAAATTTGTCCTTTTTTCACACAAATAGAGCTTTCTTTCAGTGGTATTTGATCACCTGTGCGCTTTTTATGTTTCACACTATACACAAAAAAAGACCAAAAATTTTGAAGAAAAACAATATTTTTTACTTTCAGCTATAAAAAATATATAGTAAACTCAAAGTTGGTTATAAATTTAGGCCAAAATGTGTTCTGCTACATGTTTTTTGTAAAAAAAAATCCCAATAAATATATATTGATTGTTTGTGTGAAAGTTATAGCGTCTACAAACTATGGTATAGATACTGCAATTTACGCCATTTTTTTGCTATGCAGCGCTGCGCTAGTTTAATGGACAATTGCGCGGTCATGCAATACCGTACATAAATTAAATTTATGTCCTTTTTTTCACACAAATAGAGCTTTCTTTTGGTGGTATTGATCACCTGTTCACTTTTTATTTTTGGGGCTATAAACAAACATTTTTTTGAAAAAAAATTATTTCTCATTTCGGTCATAAAAAATATCAAAAAACTAAAATTTCGTCATAAATTTAGGCCAAAATGTATTCTGCTACATTTTTTTGGTTAAAAAAAAAATCCCAGTAAGTGTACATTGTTTTGTGTGAAAATTATAGCATCTACAAATGGTATAGATAATGGAATTTACACAGCATTTACTTTCTGACTGCTCATCACATTTCATGAGATGCTAAAATGCCAGGATAGTACAAACACCCTCAAATGACCCTTTTCGGAAAGTAAACACCCTAAGCTATCTGCTGAAAGGCATATTGTGTGCATGGAAGATTTATTCTTTTCCCACAAGTTTCTGGAAAATGACAAAAACATTTTTTTTTTTTTTACACAAAGTTGTCATTTAAATTATTTATTTCTCGCACAAGCCATGGGTATATGTGGAATTACACCCAAACGCAATTTTCTTTTAAAAAATACACTATTTTTACTTTTAATGCACAAAAACATAATATATTGGCCAATTATTTGGTAAAATATAAAAGATGATGGTATGCCGAGTAAATAGATACCAAACATGACATGCTTTAAAACTGCCCATGCCCCGTGCAATGGCGACAAACTGCATACGTTTTTAATATCCATAGGCAATGTTTAAAAGCCTTTCAAACTACCATTTCAGATTTACAGAGGAGGTCTAGTGTTAGAATTACTGTCCTTGATCTGAAGTTCGATGCGATACCTCACATGCATGGTGCAACTGCTGTTTCCATACTGGCACAGGGTCAACGCTCATGATCGCTGGTGTGTGCTTGCGCGGAAGGCGAGGTTACTTTTTTTTTGTTATTTTGATTTTTTTTTAATTATGTTTACACTGTCCTTTTAATTTTTTTTTTTTTATCACTTTTAATGCTATCACAGGGAATGCAAATATCCCCTATAACTTCAATGGGCATTGTCATATATTCTTTTTTGAGAAATCTGGGGTCTATCAGACTCTAGATCTCTCCTCTGCCCTTACATTATCTAATCAAACCAAAATCGGTGTGATCAAATGCTTTCCCAATTTACAAATGGTGCTGTTATATCCTGCGAAACTGAAGTGATGAAATGCTCGTAGTCTAGTCTAAATTCTTAGGCTATAGAGATGATTGGCACCATTCTGGTCTCCAATCAGCTCTATGATCAGCTGGCAGAAACACTGGCTGCATTCTCAGGTTCCCCAATGGCTTGGGACAGCCCGAGAAGGCCGTGGAAGGCAGCGGGGGAGGGGGGGATTGTCTCCTGCTGCTTGTAAAAGCAATCCTGCAGTTAATTAGCCACTAGGATTGCTTTTACATGAAAGCTGATCGCCAGCTGAAAAAAATGATACCAGGATGATGCCTGCAGGTGTAGGCATTATCCTAGTATAACCACTCAAAGTCCAGTGATGTACCAGTATGTCGCTGGTCCTTTTTGGGTATATATGCTACGTTCTTTTGGGTTTTTTTTATGCAGCCTGTGGATTGAATGAAAAAAAGAGAAGAAATCTCTGCCGAAAAAAGTGTATGGTATGCCCACCATTAAAATATACCGCCCTGCATCCACGCACTTCTAATGGGGCTCCACGTGACTATCTATTCCCTCGTAAATCCGAAACTTATAAGTATAGCCTGTTGCCCTCTCACAGGTCTTCTACAACTTGACCCCATATCTGGCACGCTTGCAGGGGAGAAATTGTCTGAATGCAAGGCGGCCAGCAAAATTAATTAGGGACTCATCAACGCAGATTTTTTGCTGGGGAGTATATACATCTGAAATTTTTTTTTAAGGTGATTTTAATTTTGAGTGATTTGCGATTGTCGTTGGCATAAAACTGAATCTTTTGAGTGGCCGAAAGATATTTCTCCAGGAAATCATGTTAAATTCAGGGTCACATGTTTATTCCCGATTGGGATGACAATGTCACACAAACCTCCAAAAATGGGTGGACAAAAGTATTGGCACCCTTTTGCGGATAAATAAGAATGTTACAAGCATGTGATGCTCCTGTAAACTCACCTGGGGCAAGTAACAGGTGTGGGCATATAGAAATACCTCAGATAAAAAGGAGAGACGTTCACTTAACCTTTATTGTGTGTCTGTCTGTGGCCACACTAAGCATGGACAACAGAAAGAGGAGACGAGAACTGTCTGAGGAACCTGAGAACCAAAATTGTGGCAAAATATCAACAATGAATCGGGTCTGCGGACCAACACAACTGGAATTCATTTCTTTTAGTATTGCCCATGTTGAGGGTTAGGCCCCCAAAAAAAGTAAATTCGGACACCGTAATGGGTTTCCATGCGAATGATCTGGCAAGGTTTGAATTTTGGTTGGCGGCGATAAATTTTGTGCATATAAATTGCTTTGATCCACAATCAACGCATACAGATATTCCGTGAAAAAAACGCTCCAAAATCAAGGGGAGTAGTTAAATTTTCTATTTCCACCTGAATTTCGGGTTGGGCAGTGAACGGGGGAAGTACAGTGCTGCAAAATTTGTGGACTGCCAATCGGGATTTGCAATACCATCCAGAAGGATATTAGGGGCTCTACGGGCCTGTGTGCGAATTCTTAGTGGCTGCGGGACAATACTTGTGCTCGCCACCGCACCAGCTTGTACTGCACTTATAGGACTCGCCACGTCACCAAGTCATACTGCAGTGCTGGTATTATTATTATGATTTATTATACAGGACTTGTATAGCGCCAACAGTTTGCTCAGCGCTACAATATAACGGGAGACAATACAGCAACAATACAGTTCAATACAAGAGGGTTAGGAGGGCCTGATCCTGGGAGCTTACAATCTAATAGATATGTGAAAAAAGACCAGGATATACTAGGCCACTAGTACTCGCCAGTTCACCAAAAGGTAGAGCGGCACTAGTATTGGCACTCTGCTGCATAGTATGCATATGAGAGTCATCAAAATTTACCAGCAAGTGCTAACAGAGATCAGGCCTGATTCTGCGAACACTGCGGTTTTCTGTGTAATATATCAAGTGACAGGGACCTACTGACACTGCACTTGCTGGGGGAGAAGGGGGGGATAAACGTAGGGGCTAAACGCAGGTGCTGGCAGGTGTCGGGGCTGATCCCGTTAACGCTGCGTTTTTGAGGACGCTATACTAATGTGAACACTGGTATAGTGCTGATTTGATCAAAGATATTGATCCGTTCAGACACTATACTAGCAATGGAGATTTATTGTGTAGGAGTGTGTTGCTGGCAATCAAGAGGTTAAATGTGATGACTGGTGTACTGAGGCGCAATCTGACGCCATCTGGGAGGGGCGTGAAAACCACCTGAGCACAAATTGTATATATATATATATATATATATATATATATATATATATATATATATATATATGTGTGATTTTGCGCACATGTGCCGCCCTGTAGCAGTATTTAGTTACAGAAGTGGCCTGTGTTACGTCGCTGCGTTACTTTAACTGACAATTGCGCGGTCATGCAACACTGCACCCAAATTAAATTTTCTTCCTTTTTTCCCACAAATTGAGCTTTCTTTCAGTGGTATTTGATTTTTTTTTATTTTTTGCGCTATAAAAAAAAAGGCTGACAATTTTGAGAAAAAAAAACAATATTTTGGACATTTTACTATAAAACATGTCCAGTAAAAAAATGTAAAAATCTAATTTTGTCATAAATTTCGGCCAAAATGTGTTCTGCGACATGTCTTTGCTAAAAAAAATCCCAATACATGTAAATTAATTGGTTTACGTGAAAGTTATAGCAATTACAAATAACGGGAAAGATACTGGGATTTTTTTTTTTATAATAATAATTGCAGCAATCAGCGACTTATGGCGGTGATCAGTGATTTATGACAGTGATTAGCGACTTATGGCGGGACTGCGGACATTTTGACACTGGGGGGGAACTGTCTTGGGGTCACTGACATCCCCAGTGACACCAATACAGTGATGAGTGAAAAAAAAACACTGACACTGTACTAATGGCACTGGGGAGAAAGGGGTTAACTTTTTTATTCAATGAAAGGGTTAACTGTGTGAGGGGAGTGTTTTACTAGTGGGCCGGGGGTGTGTACTTCACGGGAACACACTGTCCCGGAAAGCTAATCTCTGCTTTCCGTGACAGTGACAGTGTGTTAGGAGCTGACAGGGAGCAGAGGTGCAGTGTAAACACTGCAGCCGTGCTCTCGGTCAGTGAGTGATGCTAATCGCCGTGAGTCGGCGGGTAGAGACCTGCTGCTGGACAAACGCTGCCGCGATCGGTGGCGCAGGTAGGGCGCGCGCGCGCCCCCTACCTGTTTTGCTAGACGCCATTTTATTACGTGCTCTAGCACAGCGGTGCCGCCCTGCCGCAGTATATACACTGCGGCTGGTAGGCAAATGGTTAATACATTTGTTTCGGGATTTAATGTCACTAAACATCTGAAGATCTACTCTTTAAATGTTTTAGATTGCAAACTTTTTGTAATAAGTATACCCTAAAAGAGAGTGAAACATTTAGCAGGTCATCAAAGTAGAACTAAAGGCAATTTTTTGTGTAAGAGAAGGTTTTTTAACCCCCCTCAGTTTTTTGTAATCTGTGACCCATTGGGGAGACTTCCCTAAACTTCCTGTCCCGTAGCCTAAACCCCCTCCAAAGTGAGGGAATCCCAGGGTGTCACTAGAACTAGCGTCCCCATTGGAAGAGTTCTCCTCTATTCCTGTACTGGTGTCAACCCAAAATTTGATATTTTACTTTGCCCTGTTTCTTTCAATGATAGTGGTAAACAGAAGGCGTGAATCTCCCCAACGGGCACAGACAGCAAAAAAGCAGGACAGGTGTTCTAGTCCATCTCCTCTCAAAACTAAAAAGGTTTTGCTTTTAGTTCTACTTTAAGATCAGCAGGCAGGAGCTGTCAATCATCAGTAATCATAAGTACATCAACTAAAAAACAGGCAAATACGAACAGCCACGTAATAAATCAGTAATGATAATTACCAGTAATAAAGAAGAAAGAGGAAATTTGGCAAAGAAATAGCCAACTGGATGCCTTGCCATGTAGGAATCAAATAAGCAATACCAGGAATGATCATGACTCCCAATGTGAAAAACATCTGAACGACAATGCCAACAACACGTCTTTGTTTTGATCCCACCAACTCTGTTACTGTAAAGAGGAAGAAAACAAAGCAATTATAAGTTTGCAGCATGGCTTTTATACTGATGAATGTAACAAATCATATTAAAGCGTTACTAAACCCAGGACCCTGCATTCACTATATCTGGTCTCCCACAGTACACAGAACATGAAAGTGCAATTATTTTAGTAAATATAAACTGCTAAATACCTTTTCGCATCAGCAGTTAGAGCAGTCTTGTGACTTCTATCAGTGTCCAACAGAGCACATGTTAAAGATTGTAGGAGTTTTCATCTTTCTCTAGGAGGATGCAGAACCTTTGACAACTGTCTGGGCAATACTGATTGGCCCTGTGCTAATCACATGTACTTACCCCCCTCCCCCAAAAAAACACCTCTCTAGCAATACACTACAAACTGATCATGTGCAGAGTGAATCCACACAATATGTATTATCAGGAGATAAGAGGGGGACATTGGAAGAAGGGGAGGATCAGAGAAATCAGGATCAAACTGCCCTTTGACACAATGCAGAGGTTTAACCCTTTCGGTTCCACAGTTACTATAACAAACAAGCTTTACTGCATACACAGACTGATTTTACTGTTGTGGGTTTAGTAATACTTTAAGCACATAATATACCAGTAACTAGCAACCATGTTAAAATGAATTATTAAGGATTTAAAATGCTATATAAGGAGGAAGACCTATAAAGAATGATCAGCAGCAAACAGCAATATAAACACCAACATACTTAAAGCTGGCGAAAAGGTAAAAAATAAAGTAAATTTGCACAAAAACGCCCTCGAACAACATCTGCCATCACAGCAGATGGCTTGTAGCTCTCAATGAACTGCAAGGAGCCTGATGAATGCCTTTGTAGTTCATTCACAAGCCCTGCAGCTTTCAGGCCGGTTCACATTTGTGCATTTTGTATCTTGTAGCTCAAAGCTCAAAAACGCTCAACAAGCAAAAAAGGGCTATTGAACCCTATTGTTTTCAATAGCCCTTGTTTACATCTGAGCGTTCTGTCGCTTGTAACAAAATGCCTGTCTCAAAACAGTACAGGAACTACTTTTCAGGCAGCATTGAGCGTTTTTGTCCCCATAGACATAAAAGGAAACTCCTGAAAAGCAAGAAATGAGTGTCTGAGCATTATTCACAGTTTCAGCTCAAACAGCAGCTCTCTGCCCTTTGTTAGCTTTCCATTGACAACATAAAAAACACCTAGTTGCAAAAAACGTTTGACAAAAGCAGCAAAAACATGCAATTCTGCTCCAAAAACACTCACAGCTCTTGGAAAAAAAAACACTTGGAAAAAAAAATGCTTGAAAATGTGACGCTTAGGTGTGAATATAGCCTCACAATAACAGCCCATACAGAGGTACAAGCAGAAAGCTGTATGACTTGTCTGCAGGAGCCTGACATTGCATCCATAATCTAGTAATCACAGGTGAAATGCTTTGCAGGGGAATAAATGCACTTTTTTTTCCTGCAAAAATTGGCATTTATTTTTTCCCCAGAGGTGAAGTTCGCTATGTGGTTGTAAAGGCTCAAGGTTTTTTACCTTCATGCATTCTATGCAATAAGATAAAAAACCTTCTGTGTACATCAGTGCTCCAAGTCCCCTCAATACTTACCTGAGCCGCATTGAGATCCAGCGATGTGCATGAATATGCCCCTTTTTAACCAATGATACCACAAAGCTCCTAATTCACTCCCTGGTCATCCCTTGCCTCGACTACTGCAACTCCCTCCTCATTGGCTTACCTTTACATAGGTTATCCCCCCTTCAGTCCATCATGATACTGCTGCCAGGCTCATCCACCTTACCAACCGTTCAGTGTCTGCTACCCCTCTCTGCCAATCCCTCCTTTGGCTTCCACTCGCCCAACAAATAAAATTCAAAATACTAACAACTTACAAAGCCATCCACAACTCTGCCTCCAGCTACATCACCAACCTGATCTCAAAATATCAACCAAACTGCTCTCTTTGATCCTCCCAAGACCTTCTGCTCTCTAGTACCTGTGTCACCTCCTCTCATGCTCGCCTCCAGGATTTCTCCCAAGCTTCTCCCATCCTATGGAACTCCCTACTCTAATCTCTCCGGCTGTCTCCTAACCTATCCACCTTTAGACGATCCCTGAAAACCTTTCTCTTTAAAGAAGCCTATCCTGCTTCTACCTAGTAAACTGCCATTTATTTCCTCCATCAGCTCATCCCCTCACAGCTATTACCTTTTGTACCACTCAAGCCTTCCTCCTAGATTGTAAGCTCTAATGAGCAGGGCCCTCTGTTTCCTCTTGTACCAAACTGTATTGTAACTGTAATGTCTAACTTCATTTTGTAAAGCACTGCGCAAACTGTTGGCGCTATATAAATCCTGTATGATAATAATGAAAGCCTTGGTTGTCCTGGGTCTTTGCTTCCTCATTGGCTGAGACAGCACGTGGGAGCCATTGACTCCCGCTGCTGTCAATCACAGCTAGTCAACCAATGAGGAGAAAGGGGGGCAGAGCCCAGGCTCCGTGTGTGAATGAACAGCTGCTTGCTATGGGAGCACCCGACAGAAAGGAGGAGCCAGGAGAGCCTGCTGGGGCCCTGAGAAGAGGATCCAGGCTGCTCTGTGCAAAACCACTGCACACAGCAGGTAAGTATAGACATGTTTGTTAGTTTATGGGGAAAAAAAATGAACCTTTGGTATTTTAAGTTTTAAGTTTCTGATGTGAGGGTTTTCATGCCTGAGCTTTTTTATAGGGGAGAAACACAATATGGCAATATAGACACGGAGAAGCAAAATGCAGTGATTGCAAATTTGTTTGCAGACAGCTTCACATTACATCTGACATTATAGCAATATAGCATTAAAAAAACGCACAAGTTATATAAATTGAAATGGCAGAAATATTAATTCCGTATTCTAGCAACACAGTTATGTTGAAAAAAAGACAAGTCTATGGAGTTCAGTCAAATAGAAAAATTATAAGTTAAACTGAAAATCTGCATATACAGACCTCACAGTTGGTCCAGCGACGCCTTTCTCTAGACCAACTGTGAGGTCTGTAAGGCTCCATTCACACTTATGCGACTTGTTATGCAACTTTGGGGTCCAAAGTCACATGACAAGACACCCTCCATGTTTCCCAATGGTTACCATTCTTATCTGTGGAACTTCAAGTCTCAGCAACTCCAAAGTAGTTTCTGCACTACTTTGGTCTGACTTTCATGTGACTTGAGGGCCATAGACTTCAATGTAAACCCTCCAAAGTCACAAGAAAGTAACACCTGAATGTTGTACATTCCACTTGTGTGCATCTTTGTACAGCAGAAACAATTATCCTTGGTCACAGCCAAAGTCTGACTCATCCAAAGTGGCATTAAAAATCGTATTAAAGTTGCATCAAGTCGCACTGTAAAGGCACAATGAAAATTGCATGATTTTTAAGTCACACTAGTGTGAATAGAGCCATAAGCCTTATAAAGCATGGTTCACATTTTTCCAACAGAGAAAAGAAAAAGCGGGTTTAGGGTTGAAGGAGTCCAGAGTACAGATCTATTCTTTTACTTCCATGAATGCTCAAAAACATGGACTGCGCACCCAGTAGGAGTGAAATTATAGTGGAGTTGTTTTAACAAACCCTTGATCACTTAAGACAGGGGTGTCCAAACTTTTTTCAAAAAGGGCCAGATTGGATGAAGTGAACATGGTGGAGGGCCGAACATTTTTCCGAACATTCTTTGAACCATTACAATTAAATGCAAATAAATTATTTTATGCCAAGTTAAGTGCAAACGACATACTTTTCATTTCATAACATTAAGATCAACTGACAGCTGAGTTTTCACAATGTATTGAAAATAAATTTTAAAAAAACTTACCTGCACTAATGTGAAGGGTGAAAAAGGTAGCTGGAGCTGAAGTCTCTGCTCGGCAGCCGGGAGGGGGAAGAGAAACACACTTCACGCTGGAAGCCCGGCCCTGACGTCGCCGCCCTCTGTCGCTCCCAGCGCGGCACAGTCACGCATGTGCACTGCTCTCAAGCAGAAGACTGTCTGCCACAGAAGGGAGGGCCGTGCGACAGCCGCATTTACACAGACCAGGGAGAACGCGCCGCAGTCAGGCATGCGCACTGCCCTCTGCTCTCATGCAGAAGACTGTCTGCCATAGAAGGGAGGGCCGTGGGAGGGCCACATTACACAGAGCAGGGAGGGCTGTTGGAGGACCGTATTAAACCGACCCCCGGGCTGTAAATGGACCGCGGGCCGGACTTTGGACATGCCTGACTTAAGAGAACCACTGCATAAAATGTGTCAGAGAGCATCTCAACTTCAGCAGAGATTATAATGTCCAATCAGATAGACCCAATGTTTTAATAGCAGAAATTTTGTAGTGACCATATGTAGAAAAACTGCATCTTTGTGTTTCACTTTCTTATATTGGAAATATTTGATTCATAAACTTTGTCTTGAACAATCCTACTCATTGTTATGTATATTTAGATTGCATTTTATCAAGTGTGATATGCTAAATTTTTTTCCTCTTTCCATACTGAATAGTCGTAATGCCACAATGTTAAAGTCCATTTGTCATCTGAACGTACCCCTAGGTTAACAGAATAGGTTAACAGAATTGAGCTTTAGCCAAAAATTTGAATAGTAAATTCTATGATCCACCTCAGGTTCTCATGAAAATCCTGCTAACCTAAATCCTACTTGCTCATTCAAAAAGAAAAAAAAATCCCCACCCACTGACATCTAAATATTTACATTTAAATATGTCCCATGTCCTTGTTTTCTTTTATTATACCCAAGTGTACACATCAATTATAACACAACAGAATTTTCTAATAAGTGTACATTTATTAGTCTTGGTGTGCTAATAAATTAAGGGTACTCTCACACCATCATTGTGAATAGGCATGGTTCAGCCACTTGGTCTGGTTTTCATGTGTAGTGTGAGTGCTCCAAACTGCACCCAAGATTGCAGTGTACCTTGCCTGGGACCACCTGGCTGAGGGGATCCTGGGCACAGTTTGGTAAGGTTAGCTTCATTGTGACTGTAAACCATGCTGAAGCACAATTCTCTCCATAGAGAACTGTGTACCAAAACACAGATCACTGGTCTTGTTAGCAGGAGAGTGTGCCCAGGAACATGCATTTTTTCAGTCAGTGAGTGCAGACAATTGGGGGAGTGGGAATGGGGAAGAATCTAACTTGGGCGCAGGTCAGTTTAACCATCCTCAGTGTGAGTGCACCCAAAAGTAGCATACACTCACACTTAAACTGCACAAGGTGTTTAATGGATACTTATAGGAAAACACTGAGCAGCACATTTTTCACTGACATGGCATTTTCAACAGATAAGTCATTCTAAAATTTCCAGAATGTTTAATTTATCATAGCTGGCATTCTGAAACAAACTAGACATAAAATTGTGCCTCAATAAAATATTCTGTTAGTTACACGTAGTTTAAGTACCTGAATTAAACCTGGTATCAGCCTCTTGCAATCCCTGTACAGAAAGGTTGGCGAGTGAGAGATGAAGCAGTACAAGGAGCTTATCGGTTCACGTGCTGATAAAGAGCATGCTGATAGGAGGAAAAAAAGTGTGCTGTTTCTTTTTTCACTGTTTAGTCTCTGGCTGGGGCAGGTCTAGGACAACCTGGAATGATAAGTCAGGATGAATAATGAACATCGACTTTAGGAAATCTGGAGATGGAGAAGCACTGTAGAAGACAGCCTTGGATTAAAGATGAATGGTGCAGCTAAAGCTTTTTTTTTTTTTTTTTAAATGGGCTTTTGTATTTGTTTTGTCTGGAGTTTTGCTATGAAGCAAAATTCAAGAGAAGTACTGGCAGAATTGTTTACATCACTGCTGTCATACAAAGGTTTGGTGATAACACAATACGTCTGAAGGTTCTTGCTGCCAACAAAGTTGCTCAATCTCAAAAGTGCTAAATTTTTACTGATAAAATTGGGTTGGCGTTTGTTCATGCTTACACTCTCAAAGTCTTGTTTGAGTGTATATGGCCATAGCAAGTGGACTGTGTGTGAAGCAGCATACTACATACAGTGAGGAACAGAAGTATTTGAACACCCTGCGATTTTGCAAGTTCTTCCACTTAGAAATCATGGAGGGCTCTGAAATTCACATTGTAGGTGCATTCCTACTCTGAGAGACAGAATTAAAAAAAAAAAAAAAACAGGAAATAACATCGTATGATTTTTAAAGAATTTATTTGTCTTGCACTGCTGAACATAAGTATTTGAACACCTGAGAAAATCAGTGTTAATATTTGGTACAGAAGCCTTTGTTTGCAATTACAGAGGTCAAACGTTTCCTGTAGTTCTTGACCAGGTTTGAACACACTGCAACAGGGATTTTGGCCCACTCCTCCACACAGATCTCTAGATCTGTCAGATTTCGGGGCTGTCGCTGAGCAACGCGGAGTTTCAGCTCCCTCCAAAGATGTTCTATTGGATTTAGGTCTGGAGACTGGCCAGGCCACTCCAGAACCTTGATATGCTTCTTACGGAGCCACTCCTTGGTTATCCTGGCTGTGTGCTTCGGGTCATTGTCATGTTGGAAGACCCAGCCACGACCCATTTTCAATGCTCTGACTGAGGGAAGAAGGTTGTCGCTCAAAATCTCACAATAAATGGCCCCATTCATCCTCTCCTTAATACAGTGCAGTCGCCCTGTCCCCTTTGCAGAAAAGCACCCCCAAAGCATGATGTTACCACCCCCATGCATCACAGTAGGGATTCTTGGGATGCAACTCATCCTTCTTTTTCCTCCAAACACGACGAGTGAAGTTTAGGACCAGAATGTTCTACTTTGGTCTCATCTGACCACATGACTTTCTCCCATGCCTCCTCTGGATCATCCAGATGGTCAATGGCAAACTTCAGATGGGCCTGGACATGTGATGACTTCAGCAGGGGAACCTTCCGTGCAATGCATGATTTGAAACCATGACGGCGTAGTGTTCTACCGACAGTGACCTTTGAAACTGTGGTCCCAGCTCTCTTCATGTCATTGACCAGCTCCTCCCTTGTAGTTCTGGGCTGATTCTTCACCTTTCTTATCATCAGTGATACCCCACGAGGTGAGATCTTGCATGGAGCCCAGTCCGAGGGAGACTGACAGTAGTCTTTAGCCTCTTCCATTTTCTAACAATTGCTCCAACAGTTGATCTATTTTCACCAAGCTGCTTGGCAATTGCCCCGTAGCCCTTTCCAGCCTTGTGGAGGTCCACAATTTTGTCTATGGTGTTTTTTGACAGCTCTTTGCTCTTGCCCATGGTAGTAGTTGGCGTCTGACTGACTGTGGGGTGGACAGGTGTCTTTAAAGAGCTCAGACAGGTGCTACTAAGTTAGATTAATGAGTAGAGTAGAGGTGGACCTTTTAAAGGCACAGTAACAGGTCTTTGAGAGTCAGAATTCTTGCTGTTTCTTAGGTGTTGAAATACTTATGTTCAGTAGTGCAAGACAAATACATTCTTTAAAAATCATACAATGTGATTTCCTGAATTTTTTTTTAAATTCTGTCTCTCAGAGTGGGAATGCACCTACAATGTGAATTTCAGACCCCTCCATGATTTCTAAGTGGGAGAACTTACAAAATCGCAGGGTGTTCAAATACTTCTGTTCCTGACTGTATTCTAAATTAACATATTTCAAGAATAATAGTTCACTGAATTAAGAAAAGAGAAAAAAAAACACAAAAAATATGAATATGTATAGGTTGTATAATAAGAAATACATTTTGTTAACCCCTTCCATTTGCCATTGGTAACAATTTTACCATTTGGAAAAACTAGAAGTGAAAAAAAAAATTACACATAAAATGGATTACTTTCAGTTAATATGAATGTCACTGGTTAACCAGTTATAAACCTGAGATAGGCTCCCCCCTTTGAAAGATAAGGCACACAACCATGTATCAGTTTTACAGTTAAGAGTCCATGCACACTGGCTAAAAATAAATAAACAGTGACAGTATGCATGGTCCCTAATAGTATAAATATGGTCAACTCTTAATGATATGGTGTAATTTAGCTGCTGCTAAAGCACCCCTGGCAGTGTTAGATTGTCCCAACCCTTGTCACATTCACTTACAGTATGTTCATGAGTTGGCCTTTTTAAATACAGTAGGGTTCAAAAGTTTCAAAACCTGTTGAAAATCCTTTTTTATATTTCAATGGTTTTTATTAATTTTAAACGTTTTAAACAAAGAAGGACTGAAGCAAAAGGCTCGCCCACACAGGGGCTATCAATGGCACATAAGGTATAAAAGGAATAATGTTACAACACCAGCAATGGAGGAGGTACGCCCATGCAGGGGCTATCAATGGCATAGAAAATTCATATATAAAAAAAAAAAAACCACAGTGTTATAACTCCAACAATGAAGCAAACCAGACACAGGTCTCTCTACCGCCTCCCAAAAATCATACAAAGACAAAAAGGAAAGAAGAGTAAGAAAAGGTAAGGAAGACAAGACCAACAGCAGGGAACCAGGAGCGCCAATACCGAACAACAACCTAGACCCAGACTAGCCGGAGAGAGAGTGTGGGAAAAGCATATTGCAACCATGGCTCCCAGATTTTCAAAAATTGGCGTTGGGAGTCATTACGGATACTCGACATCTGCTCATTAAGCATCCAGGACGCTGTTGGCAAAGCTGTTCAAAGACAGATTTCTGGTATGGAAAGGTGGATGTGGAAAATCCTTTTTTAAATATAAATTGAAACTTATTCACCAAAATTACATTACATTGGATCAAATGATGGTGCAGACATTGACAGTTACAACTTTTTTAATATATTGTAACTTTTCTATTCACAAAAATGTACATTAATCCAAGAATCTTGTTTTTAACATTTTGCAGACCTAACACTGCAGCTTTTTGCAGATATTCAAGAGGCATTTCAACCTACTCCCATCTGCACATCTTTCCAGAGTTAGGACTTGCTTGAAGGGCTCTCTCTAACCTCCATCAAAGACATGTACTTTAGCTTCCTGTTTGTTCATCAAAGTAGGTCTGGCTGGAGTTAAAAATATGCTTGAATTATTGTCCAGCTGCATGATTACATTAATACTAATCAAGAACTGGCCACACAATATGCTATTTGCTTCAATGTCCTAGATAGCATACTATGAAGGCACTCATCCACCATCCTTTTATTCTACATCTCACATTCTCCTCCCTGATAATTTCACTTAAAAAGCAGACTCCAAAGCCCATAATAATGATTTTTATTTATCCACTGTCAAAAGCCTATGTTTCTTTGTCAATTTTAACTTATTTGCCAGATTCAGATTCAACTTATTCTTTGACTCCAGGAGGGGAGTTAACAGTTTAATATTTTCATTTGCAGATAATGTTGGTATTTGGTGTTCATTTAAAATAAAAATAACAAAAAGGAAGGTCCTGAAAGCTGTCCATTTCTAAAAGTAGATATTCTAATGCAGGGCTTAAAATTTCAAGTCCTGAGCTACTAGCCAGGCCTTAAGAGCTACTCGCCACCAACAAACACACACAAACAGAGACACCTGTACACACACACACAGACATGTACATACACACACAGAAACATGAACACACGTGCACAGAGACACATGTACACACACACATACAGACACATGTATACACACACAGGCACGTACAGACACGCATACACACAGATACATGTACATGCACAAAAATACACACGCACAGACACATGTACATACATACACAGACACATGTACATACATACACAGACACATGTACGTACATCCACACACATACATGTACATACACACACAGACACGTACACACACACATACATGTACATACATGCAGACATGTACAGATACACACATGTACATACACACAGACACATGTACACACAGACACATGTACGTACATAAACACACACACACACGTACATACACACACACAAACACATGTACACACACATACATGTATATACATGCAGACACATGTACAGATACACACATGTACAGACACATGTACATTCATACACAGACACGCACACACACACGTACACACACGTACACAGACACACGCGCATGCTGTTAAGTGCTCTCTCCTCTCCCCTGAAGCCACCACTGGCTCACATAGAGGATCATGTGACCAGAGTGAGCTGAAATTAGGTAGAGACACACACACACCCTATAAAAAGTTTCAGTACTTTGTTGTTCACTCACAGAGCCGGGTGCTGCACTCTAGATGGAGGCAGAGAGCACAGCACACACTCCTTCCTTTGCTTCCACTGCGCTCAGCTATTGAGCAGTCTGACGGCTCCCAGTGCCAATGACAGATCCAGCCTGAGCTCCGAGCCTGCTCAGCAAGACGGCCCTGGGGGACACACTTGCCTCCACCATAATTTCCACTCGCCATTGGCGAGCAGGCGAGTGGAATTTCAAGGCCTGTTCTAATGTACTTATCCTCATTTCTTTCTGCATCTAGCCCAGTCCCTTTTTTTCTTTTACAGCTAGATCCAGTTCTCTCCATCCCACAACAGTAGCAAACACCATCATTTAAACTAGTAATTTTATTCACTGTTGGATGATTGAAATAAGTTTCATTTTCCAAAACTACAATATGCCAATATATAGAAATGTATCTAGGTTCAGCCGTTTTTAACCTGAAATTAACTTTTTAAATACCAGTATCTTGCAAACCAAGGAAAGACCACTTGCAAAAAAATGTGATTCATCTATAGTATGCTTCTGTAATATCCTATTATAAATTAATTTAAGCATGATTCATTAGGCAGGGCATTTGAGAAACAGCTGCTGTGACTTTGCAGTCACAATTCTAAAACAGACTTTAAGCAGTAGTCATCATTTTCACTTATTAATTCTGTCGTAGTTTTGTAGGGTAATAATCAATTTAAATGTCAATTTGCAAAAAAAAACAAAAACAAAAAAAAATACCAATGACCAATGCTCTCAAAAACACATTTCTAAGTGAATACAAACTTAACACTAATGTAAATTTGGAGAAAAATAGTCCTTTACAGTATTTTTTTGCTCAAATACAAAACATCCTTGAAAAAGGAAAGTACTGCATAATATACACTAGCTCAAGCTATGGTATGCTTATATACAATAACATCCTTTTAAATTGGGAGAGATCCTATATTATTTTATCTCTACTATTAAATTAAATCTCAAGACTGGGACCATTTTCTGGACACCCTCCCTAACGTCCCCAATTCAGAAGAAAAAATAAAATTACACATGTTGGAGACTGCTTTTTGTTCTATTATCAATCCCTGGATTGCTTCTTTAATCAAACCAGACTCAACAAATCCCACAGCTAAAGACTGACAACCTATTAAATTCTCTATCACTATCCTGGAGAACATAAAAGGCCACGATGCATGTGAAATGTCAATCAATTCTTCCACCACTCCTACATATCTCTACACTGATCAGTGACTCAATCTCATTTGGCGCAAGACCAAGTATCACCCACCCAATGTAAACATTTAATGTTGGACTTCAAACCACAAATGCACATTAACCACTAGGGGACCGCTCGCAGTACATATACTGCTACAAGGCGGTCCATGTGCGCAGGATCACGTATATAAACGTGATATTGCATTCCGGGGAAGGGAGCACGCGAGAGGTGCGCGACCGCCCTACCCGCGGCATTGATCGCGGCTGTCAATCACTGGGTCCCAGGACGGTGATTACCCGCCGGAGCCTGGCGATTGCCAGCAAACACTGACGGGGAGGAAGGCTGCATTGTTTTCAATGGAGCTCTCCTCCCTGTCAGCTTTCAGCACACTGTTCCAGGATCGCTGAGCTCAGCCTTCCAGAAAAGTGTGTAACAAAGAGGTACACACCCCCGGCCCTAGTAAAACACTCCCCCCACACAGTTAACCCTTTGATTGTCTCCAAATGTTAACCCCCTCCTCCCCAGTCCCATTAGTACAGTGTCAGTGTTTTTTTTTTTTTCCACTGATCACTGTATTGGTGTCACTGGGGATGCCATTGACCCCAAGTCAGTTCCCCCCCAGTGTCAGAAATTCCTGCAGTCCCACCATAAGTCACTGATTGCTGCCATAAGTCGCTGATCGCCGCTATTATTAGTATAAAAGAAAAAATCCAATATCTATACCACCATTTGTAAACGCTATAACTTTAACGTAAACCAATTAATTTACACGAATTGGAATTTTTTTTAGCAAAGATATGTTACAAAATACATTTTGGCTAAAATGTATGATGAAATTTGATTTTTACATTTTTTTAATGGGCATGCTTTATAGCAAAAAGTCCAAAATATTGTTCTCTCAAAATTATCGGCCTTTTATTTTTAAATAAAAAATGCACAGGCGATCAAATACCACCAAAAGAAAGCCGAATTTGTGGCGATCAAATACCACCAAAAGAAAGCCGAATTTGTGGAGAAAAAAGGATGTAAATTAAATTTTAGTGCAGTGTTGCATGACCGCGCAATTGTTAGTTAACCACTTGCCTACCAGGCACTTATACCCCCTTCCTTACCAGGCCAATTTTCAGCTTTCAGCACTGCCGCACTTTGATTGACAATTGCGCGGTCATGCAACATTGTACCCATATGAAATTTTGATCATTTTTTTCTCACAAATAGAGCTTTCTTTTGGTGGTATTTAATCGCCACTGGGCGCTTTACTTTTTGCGCTATAAATACAAAAATTGCAAAAAATTTGAAAAAAAAAAAGTTTCTTTGTTTCTATTATAAAATTTTTCAAACAGGTAATTTTTCTCCTTCACTGATGTGCGTTGATGAGGCAGCACTGATGGGCACTGATAGGCATCACTAAAATGCACTGATAGGCAGTACTAATGAGGTGGCACGGATAGGCGGCACTAATATGCAGCACTGATAGGCGGCACTGATAGGTGACACTGATGATGGGTACTGATAGACAGCACTGACTGGCATCACTGCTGGGCACTGACTGGCGGCACTGACTGGCACAACCCCTGGGCACTGACTGGTGGTACTGACTGGCAGCACTGGTGGGTGGCACTGGTGGGTGGGCACAGGTGAGTGGCACTGGTGGGCACAGGTGGGTGGGCACAGGTCAGTGGCAATGCTGGGCACAGGTGGGTGGCACTTCTGGGCACAGGTGGGTGACACTGCAGAGTGGCACAGGTGGGTGCACTGCTGGGCACAGGTAGGTGGCACTTCTGGGCACAGGTGGGTGCACTGCTGGGCACAGGTGGGTGCACTGCTGGGCACAGGTGGGCGGAGCTAGTGGGTGCACTGCTGGGCACAGGTGGGCGGAGCTTGCGGGTGGCACTGCTGGGCACCGATCATCTGGGCACTGATCATCAGTGCCCTGATGATCGGTGCTGATCCCACTCTGACAACTGCCGGTTCTCGGCAGCACTTTCCTCACGATCTGACAGCGTGAGGAAAGTGCAGCCGAGAACCGGCACTTGCATTTCCCTCTGATCAGCGTGTCATTGGACACCGCTGATCAGGTGGTAAAAGGCCGCTGTGATTGGCCTTTTACCACATCACGTGATCAGCTGTGTCCGTAGGACAGATTGCCGTCAGTACACCAGTAATCACATTTAAACACTTGATTGCCAGGAAGATGCTCATACACAATAAACCTCCATTGATAGTATAGTGTCTGAATGGATCAATATCTTTGATCAGATCAGCACTATACCAGCATTCACATTAGTATAGCGTCCCCAAAAATGCAGCATTAGCGGGATCAGCCCCGGCACCTGCCAGCACCTGCGTTTAGCCCCTACGCTTACCCCCCCCCCCCCCTTCTTCCCACAGCAAGTGCAGTGCCAGAAGGTCACTGTCACTTGATACATTGCACACATAACCGAAAGTGTTCGCAGAATAAGGCCTGATCTCTGTTAGCACTTGCTGGTAAATTTTGATGACTCTCATATGCAGCAGAGTGCCAGTACTACTACCTTTTGGCGAACTGGTGAGCATTAGTGGTCTAGTACATCCTGGTCTTTCACATACCTCTTATATTGTAAGCTCCCAGGATCAGGCCCTCCTAACCCTCTTGTATTGAACTGTATTGTTGCTGTATTGTCTCCTGTTATAGTGTAAAGTGCTGAGCAAACTGTTGGCGCTATATAAATCCTGTATAATAATAATAATAATACCAGAACTGCAGTATGACTTGGCGCCGTGGCGAGTCCCATAAGTGCAGTACAAGCTGGTGCGGTGGCAAGCACAAGTATTGTCCCGCAACCACCCAAAATTTGCACACAGGCCCGTAGAGCCCCTAGTATCCTTCTAGATGTGCTTGCAAATTTCGATTGGCAGCCCACAAATTCTGCAGCACCCATACTTCACCCATTCACTGCCCAACCCGGAATTCAGGTGGAAATAGCAAATTTAACTCCTCCCCTTGATTTTTTTCTAGCTGTTTTTCACAGAAGATCTGTATTAGAGATGAGCGAATCGAACATGACGAAGTGGAAATCGTTCCGAAGATTTGGAAAAATTCTATTCGCGACGAATCCGAAGATTAGCAAACTTCGGATGCACGAATCGAATTTTCCCAAAAATGGCGGCGACATGTGTGGCCACGGAGAAAATGGACAGAGAAGATGGGGCGGGGATCTCTGGGAAGGTGCGCAGACAAGGTGCGTTGACCCATAATGCATTCATGATATGTGATCGCATTAGCCAATCAGCAGCCAGCCAGCACTATAGATCGTGGCCATCTTAGAATTCTCCATTAGCCTCCGGTCATTCAAGAGACAGACCTGTCTGTATTAAGGGACAGAGTTAGGGCCACAGAGACTTTAGGGCCACAGAATCGTTACTCAGGGACACAGAATCGTTACTCAGGGACACAGAATCGTTACTCAGGGACACAGAATCGTTACTCAGGGACACAGAATCGTTACTTAGGGCCACAGCTATCAAAGAATCGAAAATTTAAAGTGACATACACCCTTTTTTTTTTTTTTGGTGGCTGTCGTGCACAGTTGGTGCTGCAGTTTGCCGATTGTGCAAAATAAACTGACTTTCTGCTTCACAACCACTATTGTACGTTCAAAGAGTTAAATCCATTTACACGCCGGCTGGCGGTAATATTTTTTGGGTGATTAGTGCATTCCAGTGACATAAATGTACAGTTTACAGCCAACGGCAAGCTGCAATTGACCGATTGTGTACAATAAACTGACTTTCTGCTTCACAACCACTATTGTACGTTCAAAGAGTTAAATCCGGTTTTATTTTTGGGGTGCTTATTGAATTAAAGAGTATGTCAGACAACACGCAGAGGAGTGGCAGAGGAGGCAATGTTTCAGGAGCGAGCAGACGTGGCAGCAGAGGAAGGGGTCGAGGCAGCACTAGTCGCAGCCAGAGGCCAGTGCTCCCGGTGTCATCCAGCGGTCGTGTCTCCACCGACAACCCTGCCGTCATCGATTTGGTTGACTCGGTCGTCTTCCTCTTCCCAGGTCACCTCTGACACCTACAGCCAACGGTCGGTGGGTACGTCAGACACAACCGTTAGTTGGCATGGCCCGGGAGCAAGCCCACTGAAATCACGTGTCCTGGACCTGCCCCTGTCCTTTGGTGTTCCCTCACCAAGCGAAGTATCGCATGCTGTGGGCTCAGCCCCACTGTACAGTGAGGAAGAGCTAACAGAGGGCGGTCAGGAACGGGGGGAGACATCCGCCTCTTCAGCAGCCAGGCGAAGAAGTACTGGCGAGGAGAGTGGCTCGGTAGCCGGTCTAGAGACAGGTCTGTCTCCTGACCCACACGCAGCCGAGGGGGCTAATAGTGAGGCGGAGACCCTAATTGATGATGATGAGGCTGATCGCACTTGGCAGCCTCGTCGTCATCAGGCTATTGCTTCCGCATCATCAGGAGAAGAGGGTGCCAGCTTGCCAGCGAGCAAAACAGTCGGTGGGTTGCCCAGGAGGCAGCAGGGTCGCAGCAGTGTCAGTGGAGCCAAACGGCCACGGAGTAGAGCACCAGCTCCACTGCAGCCTACCACCACGGCCAGTAGTGGTGCCGGTGTGCACGGAGGAAGTAGCAGTCAGCCAGTGAGGAGTAGCGGGGGCAAAGTTTCCTACTCGGCGGGTGTGGCAATTTTTCGTCAAGCCGCCCGAGGAAGTAAACGTAGCCGTATGTCGACTATGTGGCCAGAAAGTCAAGCGTGGCCAGGGGGCCAATGTTGGGACTACAGCGTTGCGTCAGCATATGCAGCGTCGCCATTCGGTGGCCTGGGAAAACCGTGATAAAGATACGGCGGTTCTGCCTGCCCCAGCCCCCGCTCCATCACCCGCTCCGTTACTTGCTCCGTCACCCGACGTCAATCGCCCTCTATCAGCCAGTCAAGGCTCCAACACCTCTGCTGAGGGGAGTTGTCGCTCGTTGGCATCTTCCGCTCGTTCAGATGCTCCTTCTCCTGCTACTCCTCTTCACGATTTCCGTCAGCAGTCTTTCTTGGAATCCGTTTCCAAGAGACAACAGTTTGCGAGCACGCACCCGACGGTGCAGAAGCTGAACGTCCTCCTGTCCAAGTTGCTGGTGCTGCAGTCCCTCCCTTTCCAAGTGGTGGACTCAGCACCTTTCCGAGAAATGATGGCTTGTGCCGAGCCGCGGTGGAGAGTGCCAAGCCGGCATTTCTTCGCCAAAAAGGCAGTGCCAGCCCTGCATTCACATGTAGAAGAGATGGTGGGCCAGTCTTTGAGCATGTCGGTCTCTGCCAAAGTGCACGGCAGCGCCGACGTGTGGAGCTGTAACTACGGTCAGGGACAGTACATGTCATTTACGGCCCACTGGGTGAACGTGGTGCCGGCACAGCCGCACCAGCAACTTGGACAGGTCACGCCGCTTTTGCCTCCACGTTTGCACGTCCTTGGTCCAGCAAAGATGTCCGCCTCTACCACCTCTTCTTCCGCCGTGTCCTCAGCCGCCACCCCCGTGCCAAGTCCCATTACCCGACCGGCATATCACATGTGCAGGGCGCAACGGTGTCACGCTGTGCTGCACCTGGTATGCCTTGGCGAACGTAGTCACACAGGGGAGGAACTTCTGAGTGTAATGAACAGAGAAATCGACAGATGGCTGTCTCCGCGCAAACTGAAAATCGGAACCATGTTGACCGACAACGGAAAGAACATGGTGTCTGCTCTGCGTCAAGGAAGGTTGTGCATGCGCCATGCATGGCTCACGTGTTCAATCTGGTTGTCAAGCGGTTCCTAAAATCCACCATCCCACTGCAAGACATCCTTAAAATGTCACGTAAACTTTGCATGCATTTCAGCCATTCCTACACCGCAAAGCACACCCTCCTTGAGCTGCAGCGGCAGAACGGAATTCCACAGCATCGCCTGATCTGCGACGTTGCAACAAGGTGGAATTCAACCCTACATATGTTAGACCGCCTTTACGAACAGCGAAAGGCCATCACCGATTTCCTGATGTTACAAGCGGATAAAGGTACTCCCCTGTGTAACTTAGATGTCAGCCATTGGCAGCTCATGCGTGACACCTGCCGCTTGCTCAGGCCCTTTGAGGAGGCCACGCTATTCGTGAGTCGGCAGGACTATGGGATGAACGACGTCATTCCTCTGTTGCACGTCCTGGAACAAATGCTGTTAACAATGGCTGGTCAGGGTGCGGTAGACGTGGCGCACAGATCTCAACGCCACATGACCCCTGTGGGGGCAGGACAGGAAGAAGAGGAGGAGGTAGAGGAGGACATTGGTGCTCAGGAATTATTGAGTGAAATGGGTGGTTTTTCCACTCAGCGGACAGGAGTGGAGGAGCAGGAGCATCTGGTAGAGGAGGAGGAGGAGACAGAGGACCCAGACGCACCGTGGCAGTATGCTGTGGAGATGGAGGCAGGGAGTCCCTCGCATTCCTTGGCACAAATGGCCCATAGCATGCTCGGTTGCTTGCGTAGCGACAGCCGAATAATAACCATCAGACAGAGGATGACTTTTGGCTGTCCACCTTGTTGGACCCTCGCTACCGTTCAAAAATGGTGGCCTTTTTCACACCTGCTGAGAGGGAGGCCAAAATAAAGTACTATAAAAAACCACCTATGTAGTCAGTTGGTCTCTGCCTTTCTGCGCCAACGTCCATCCTCAGACACTGTGGGCCCTGTGCGCTCGCGTTCCGCTGCCATGGCAGCAGGGGAGGGGTGGTGGGGTGGTAGGAGCAGTGGCAGCTCCACCAGCAGCGGCTGCCTCAGTCTGCAGTCGATGATGAGTAGCTTTCTTCACCAGCGCAGTGAGGAAACTACTAACCAGCCGCAGCAGCAGCAGCAGCATCAGGTGGACCTGGAGCAGGACCTCAAACAACAGGCTTGGGCCCTACTTGGACAGCACCCTGCCAACCGAGGTAGACAATCCCCTTGACTACTGGGCAACGAAACTTGACCTTTGGCCCCAACTAGCTGAATTTGCCCTTGAAAGGCTGTCATGCCCGGCCAGTA